AGCCACCTGAAGACACACATACAAACCCAGCAACTCCACTGACTGCTCCCACTCCAAGCTGACGTGAGGAGCCGTTGGGGCCCCGGGCAGGATTTTCTCCTGCCCTGCTGGCAATCGCCTCTTAGTCCCAACCAGTGCACCTCCGCGGATTCCAACTCCCAGGGATCCTGCGTAGGGTTTCCAGGTGCATCTGTACTGGGGCAGCCAGCCTCAGGGGAGCGGCCGGTGGGTTTGAACAGCCGGCCTTGCGGTTGGCAGTCCAGTGCTTGCACAAAGCGCCACCACCAGAACTGTGGGAGCTGGGAGCAGTTGCAGGCCTGGAGCACAAGTTGAAGGCATGCCCTAGGGCTGGGCCGCTGGAGGGCCAGAGGGTGACGTTGAGGAAAACCCACAGGTATCAGCCCAGGTTCCCTCAAGAAACAGAGCCAGTGGCTCTTGGCTGTGTCTGTTATAGAACTCACTCTCATGGCCGTCGAGTCAAAGCTGACCGTCAGTGACCCCCTCTGGGTTTCCAAAGCTGTGACTTTTAAGGGAGTAGAAAGCCCCGTCTTTCTCTTGCAGAACTGCTGGTGGTTTCAAACTGCTGACCAGGCAGCCCAACGCCTAACCACGATGGCACCAGGGCTCTGTGTATATCTATAGAAAGAGTTGCAGCAAGAAGATGGCCCACATGGTTGTAAAAGTAGGCCACTCCAGTCCAGTTCGAGTCCATAGGTCAGATGTCAGCCACAGGCTGCTCCTGACTGACTGCCGTAGCTGCAGGGGCTGACCAACAGGAAGCAGGAAGGTGAAGCAGGAAGGCCACAGGCTGGTGGGTGCCAAGCTGAACGAATCCGAAATTGACAGACCCCTAAGGCCTCCTGGGATTGGCAGGAGGCATAGCAGGATCTCTACAAACCAGATGCAGGATCTAGATCCAGCAGTCAGCAAAGGGGCCAGACAGAGCTCAGCCCGGCTCAGGGTGCCCCTCACACAAAAGGCCACACCCCCACAGAGGTGGCATCAGGCTGCAACCTGGCTGATAGGTTGCGCTTCGCCGAGGTGTAGGTCTCCAAACTCACTGTCCTTGAGTGGATTCTGACCCTATAGAATAGGGCAGAACTGCCCCAGTGGGTTTGCAAAAACTGTAACTATACGGTAGTAGAAAGCTTCCTCTTTCTGCCTGGGAGCAACTGGTGGTTCCGAACTGCGGGCCTTGCAGTTAACAGCCTAACGTGAAACCACTAAACTCTAACCATCATGCAGAGGGAACAAGTGGCCAGCCTAAGCGGCACGAAGGGTGACAGGTTGTCGGCGTGAATCGACTCATATTCAGGGCACCGCCTCTGGCCCTCCCCCTGCCTGCCAGTGTGTCGGCCTGTTGCTGTGGTGCCGGGAGCTACCCACGCAGCATTCCAAACACCAGCAGCATCCCCCATGGTGAACAGGCGCTTCCAACGTCAAACAGAGTAGGAAGAAAGGCCTGGAGATGTACCCCAGAAACGCTGGGTCACAACGGAATGCCGTCCTACCCACGGCGTCTGTCGGAGGAGGACATGTGTCCAGTGAAGTCGAGGCCAGCGAGGGCCAGGGAGACTCTTGGTGAGATGAACTGGATGCCTGGGCTTTTTGTTGGTTTGTAGCTTAGTTGACTGTTTGCCCTGGAGGTGCAGCAGTAAAGCACTTGACCACGTGGTTGAAACCCCGCCGGCCTTGGGAGAGTGGTGTGGCCCTCTGCTTCCCTAGAGCTTCCATCTCAGGACCCCCATCGGGCTGTTCTGAACTGCCCTGTGGTGTGGGGGGCAGGGAGGGGCATCATGGGAGTCGGGGTGGCCTGGTGGCAGAGTGGTTACACGTTGGGCTGTGATTCACAAGGTCGGCAGTTCGACACCACCAGCAGCTCCTCGGGAGAAAGGGCTTTCTACTCCCGTTGACAGTGACAGTCCTGGAAACCCACCAGGGATCACTGTGGCCTGGCATTGACTCGATGGCATCTGAGCGTTTGGGAAGGAGGGGAAGGCGAGCCCACTGGAGGCCCCGTGAGCACGGGAGGAAGGAGAGAACCCGGAGCTGAGTGACCAGGCCTGTCAGAAAGAAGATGTGGAAGACCAATCAGTGCTCATGGAAGCAGCCGTCAAGAGACCCAAAGACCTCTCGTGTCAGGTAAATCTGCTGCACAAGACCTCTTGGGAGTACTGGAGAGCAATAGTGTTACTTTGAGGGCTAAAGTGCGCCTGGCCCATGCCAGGGTGTTTTCACCTGCCTCAGAGGCTGGTGTGGAAGTTGGATATTGATACATTCGAACTGTGCTGCTGGAGAAGAGTATTCAAAGTGCCACAGGTTGCACCATGGAGAGTACCAAAGGGCAAACCAAGGCGTCGTGGGAGAAGCACAGCCAGAGTGCTCCTTAGAGACAGGGATGGCGAGACTTTGTCTGACCTACCTGGGACACGTTGTCAGCAGAGACCAGCCCCCGGAGAAGGACATCGTGCTTGGTCAAGTAGAGGAGCAGCAGAAAAGAGGAAGGCCCCCCCCCAGGAGACGGATTGACACAGTAGCTGCCACCCCAGGCTCCAGCGCAGGGACAGCTATGCGGATGGTTCGCGACCGGGCTGTGTTCCGTTCTGCTGTGCACGGGGTCGCTATGGACCAGAACCAACGTGATGCCACCCTAAGAGGGCAGCAGAGGGGCTGAGTGGGAGCGGAGATCTGAAGGTGTAAGCAGAGGTCTACGTGGGGGGCAGGGGTGGGGGACCCACGAGCCCAGGAATAATGTGGGCAGCCTCTGGATGCCAGAATGGAAAGCACACGAGGTCGCTCTGCCCATCTTCCTCTTAGACTTCTGGCCCTAGAACCGCTGCACCACCGTCGATTCCGGCCGCTTACAATGTGGTTGTGGGTCCCAGCAGTCACGGTGACCAGATCCCTGATTCTAACTCAGAGCTGCTGGCCTCTGCCATCCTAGCTCGGAAGCAGCCACAGAACAAACAAACGGGGTGTGGGGTGGGGGACAACGCAAAGCCCAACCCCCCGGCCGTGGGATCCGTGCTGAGCCAGTGACACCTGGTGCCACACCACCAGGAGTCACTGAGGAGCAGCGTTTCCTCCGTGGAAATTGGCACCCTGTGCCCCCCGCAGTGTTTGGCCGTTGGCCTCCATTCCCCGAGCCCTCAGATCCCATCCGCCTCCCGTGCGAAAGGTGCACAGGGCTCCACTGGCCCTGAGAGAGAAAGCGCCGGCCACCCACACGGGGGCACGTCCTCCGTCCGTGCTACAGAGACCCGTGAAGCTGTGCTCTCTGACCTTGAGACACGGGACATGTTCAAATGTATTCAGGCTCACACCGCAAGGGCTGCTGCCGAAGGTCTCCCCAAGGTTCTGGAATTTTCCTCGCATGGCAGCACCTTGCTGGCAAAGCGCACGGTAATCCTGAGAGCTGGCATTCTTGGGAAACCAGCCTTGTTCCTGCTTGCTGCCGGCATGGGGTCTTGACAACCCACGCCAGTGAGCTGTACGCCATGTGGTTTCCAGGGCCGGGCTTTTTCTTTCCCCCCAGAAGTAGATCACCAGGCCTTTCTTCCGCAGCACCTTTGGTGGGCTTTTGGGCCCACAGTGTTCCAGGGAGCACTTTTGTACCACCCAGGGACTCCATGGGATGACTGTGCCCGCTGCCAACTTGATTGCAGCTCCTGGTGACCCCAGAGGACAGGGTAGAACTGCCCCCTTGGGGTTTCCAAGGCTGTGAATCTTTAAGGGAGCAGACAGCCTCATCTTTCTCCCCCAAAGTCCTTTGTAGGTTTTCTTCCAGGCTCCAAACTCCCTGCTGCCGACTCGATTCTGAGTCAGCAACCCAGCCGGACAGTGGAGAACTGCGCCTGTGGGTTTCTGAAGCTGTCAGCCTTTCAGGCAGCAGGAAGCCTCCCCTTCCTCCCATGGAGTGGCTGTGGGTTTCAGAACTGATGACCTTGTGGTTCGCTGTCCAGGGCTTAGCCCACTGTGCCACCAGGGCTCCCTCGGGACATCTCATAACCCAAATCCCTGCCACCGAGCAATTTCTGACTCATAAAAGTAGATTCTCTCGGGGCCCTGGAACTCAGCAATGACATCACACGGTTGGTGGCCCTTGCTGTTTCCTCACTCTGGGTAGAGAGGGGAGCAGCTAGTCTTCCAGGAGACGGAGGGGTGGGAGGCAGGGGGGGGCGGGGACAGGGATGGCCTGAAATGTCATTTAACCCTAAAGAAAAAGCTCATTTGCCGCCAAGTCCAGCTCACAGCAAGGACCTGTAGGACAGGGTAGAACTGCCCCTGGTGGGTTTCTGAGCCTGAAAGGCTTTAGGGGAGGAGAAAGTCTCCTCTTTCTGCAAGGGATCTGCTGGTTTCAAACGGCTGACCTTGCAGTTAGCAGCCCGGTGTGAAACCTACAATGCCACCAGGCCTCCTTGGAAGAGCCAAATAGTAAATCGCTCTTTTAAGCTTTTTAGGCCACCCAGGTGGTCTCTATCTAGGTTCCTCGATGCTGCTGCTGTTCTGGTTCAAAAGTGGACCCCCCACTGAACATGTGGGTGTGGCCATGTGTCAATTAGACTTTATTGACAAAAACTAGTGCCCCAAAGTACCACCTGCTGGCTCTCTATCAGGGCTGCTCCGTGCCGCCTCTGCTGTCAGTATAGGCTGCAAGCTGCCAGTCCAGCTACTGCCCACCCCCACCCCCTTTGTTTCCTTGGAGTTCTGCTGAAAGACAGAGACCACACCCCCATCAAAGCCATTCCATCACCCCACCACCCATCCCTCCTCACTCCCAGCAAACCCTTTAGGACAGAGGAGAACTGGTCCTTAGGGTTTCTGAGACTAAATCCTTACAGGAGCAGAAAGCCTTCTGGCTCACTTAACCCAGGACTCCTTAAAGCAACCACTGACGCCTCGTAACCCATGGGGGGGTGTGGCCGTGGTAAAGTGAGGTTTCTGAACATGACTGTCCTAGCCGTAATCCCTCCTGTGGTGTGTTAGGGATTCCTGCCCTTGTGCCTGTGGCTAGAGTGCTATTGGGGAGGGAGTTCTCTGTTGTGCTGATGGCCTGGATTAAGGTGGGATTTGTTCTGAGTCTCCACCTTGTTAGAGGGTGTGGCTCAAGTCACGTGTGATGCCCTCCTCCCACCCCCACCCCCTTTGTTTCCTTGGAGTTCTGCTGAAAGACAGAGACCACACCCCCATCAAAGCCATTCCTTGGTGCATTAGCCATCTCAGAAGCACAGAGAGAGACCTTCGAGCAAGAAGAGCCCCCAGCAGGGCACATTCAAGAACCTTCCTGAAGTGGGGAGACCAGAGGCCACAGCACGGAGACTGTGGGACAGAGCAAAGGAGCCAGGCTGAGATGAAGCCAAGGGGCTACACCCCTGAGACTGTGAGACAGTGGAACGGCCGAAGCCAAGGGACCACATGGGTGACTGAGCACTGGAGGGAGGCTTGGCTGCTGGCTGAGGACAGCTTGGCCAGGCCGCTGGAAACCAAGGACCGTATCCTTACTGTTTACTGCTCTGACTTGTGGAAACCTGTCAAGCACCCCAATATCAAAACCAGACTCCCCGCCATTGAGTCACTGCCCGCACATCGCGACCCTCTAGGACAGGGCAGAACTGCCCCTGCGGGTTTCTGAGACTGTAACTCTTTATGGGAACAGAAAGCTTCACCCCCATAATTAGGAGTATTGCGGGTGAGTTCTGTGTGGCCGCTGCAAAGAAACTTCAAACCCAGTAGCAAAATAGATGCCCTGGGAGGAGCGGTGCTGGCATCGCAGGGTAGAGAGGGATGGAGTGAGCAGGCACGTCTGACCTCCGCCTGGTGGCCGTGGGCCTGGGGCCGGTGGGGAAATGGATTCTCCACCCTTGTGTAGCCAGAGATCAGATATGGCCTCCTGCACCACCACACCACCACGGGGGGGGGGGGGGGGGGGGGGGGCATGTTTCGATAAAGCTTTATTGACAAAGGCAAGTATAACAAAGTAGGCTGCAGATGGGAGGGTGCTGGTCAAGGGGGCATGGCAGCTTAGCCTCCTGACAGGGCTTGGTCATGCCACAGGCCAGGCTCCCGCTTCTTGCTGGGGGTCATTTGGTGGGGCCGTGAGGGGCATGGACTCCAGGACAACTGACGGAGGGCAGGCTGTGGGGCGGCAGTCAGATTCTCATTCCCACCTGGGAAGCGACTGCCCGTCTGTCCGCAGGGGCTGGCTGGCTGGCTGCTGGCATTCGAAACAGGTTTGAGCAGAGCTTCCAGACAAAGACAGACTAGGAAGAAGGACCTGCCAGTCTACTTCCCCAGATCCGGTCAGGAGGCGTGCGCTTGGGCTTCAGGGAGAAGGTCTGGGTGCACAGGTACCCGGGCCCCTTCAGCACCAACCGCATCACACACACCAGCCTTACAAGAGCTTCGGAGGTTGCCAGTGGCTAGCGGGGACCATCTCAGCCAGCCGGCTAGAAGCTGGTGTCCGGCAGGTGCTCCTCCAGGCCTGGGCAGGGCGAAGGGTGGGGCCCCGCCTTCCAGCTCCCTGCCTACGACTGCCCCCAAGTGATTCAGAGGAGAACTGCACCAAGGAGCTTCCAGGGACT